CCCCGGTCCGGTACGGGGGCAACACTGAGGGTTGCGATCCGTTGCCGGACACGGAAAAAAGACAAAAGACAAAAAAAAAAAGATTCTTAATAAAAATAGGGAGCCACCGATCACACAAATGATTAGTGGCAAAGTGTGGGAATTACATTTTTTCATCATTAATTATAGTTCTGTCACCACAGAGGCACTGCTGTGCCATTAATTAATTTTACTATCAGAATTCATTAAAATTTTCCTTTTCTTTGTTGTGTACTAATAATATTCATTGAAATATTTGTTTTATATTGCATGCATAAGCATAATTTTGGAATTTCTTTACATTTTGCTCTGTGCCATATATTAGTTTCTACTGAGACATTTGTCTATAGGTACTGTGCTTTGTCTGAACTAATTAATTCCTGTGTGGAATTAATTCAAATGAATGCAACTTCATTTTATTTCATGGCTTGCTTTTTGGTTACCCATATTCACAAAAATACAGTACTTCATATGTGGTGTGGGACTTCATGTACCAATAAGTTTAATTTTGTTGCTTGTTCTTTTTTGGTACCCATTGACATGAATATGTTTCTTCTTAGCTTTATGGTTTTATACTCTTTTATTAATAGAATTTTACTGCAGAGTATACTATATTTATATGAATAATTTTCCCCTTACCAAACCACTTTAAAACTGCTTTCAGTACGTGCACAATGAAACAGTTAATTTTTTCTTAAAATGTTTCTTTATAATGTTTGGATATGTCTTATATACCAGCAAATATGGCAGGTTACTTGCCCAAGTAGTATAATGAGAACTAAAATCAATATCATTCAGTAATCTTTTTTGTTTTAAAGATGACCGGTAAGGGGATCTTAACCCTTGACTTGGTGTTGTCAGCACCACGCTCACCCAGTGAGCGAACCGGCCATCCCTATATGGGATCCGAACCTGTGGCCTTGGTGTTATCAGCACCGCACTCTCCTGAGTGAGCCACAGGCCGGCCCCAATATCATTCAGTAATCTTTCAGAGTATAAAGGAAAAGAAAATAGATGGCTTGCTAGGGTAATGGTATTCCTTCTTTCTTTCTTTCTTTTGCTTTTAGTCTGGGTTAGTTTTTTCAGTTAATATATTTTTTTTTAACATCTGCAAAAGAAAAATCCTGTTTGAGTTCTATTAATAGTTTAGTAAGTACCCAATCAGCTTATTTTTTCATCAACTCTAAATTGGTGGCTAATTTACATGGCGGTTTGTAGTTTTACATGTTTAAATGATAATCTGATTAGTTAGCTCTTTTTCTGCTTTTCAGAGGTAAGTTACCTTTCTCTACTGAAGTGACAGTTGTACATTCCTAATTGCTTTTGTGCCCAAAATTCATGAGGGTATCTGTAATCTAGAGTGTAATTATATTAAAATCTGAGTTAACCTTTCTTGAAAGTGACATTTTTTCAGTCTCATTCCAATTATTGCATAGCTTTTATCTATGTCTTAGGTGATAGGAATGCTTCCAGAGACTGGCTATTTTTTATTTGTTCTGATTTTCGTTCTTAATCTTATTTTCTCCTCATCCTCCTCATCCCTCACAGCACTTACAACCTTTTATTCTGTGGTTCCTGTGGGACTCCCATTGGTTTCCATCTATATTCTACCCATGCTGCCCTGGCTGCCTTGAGAGGTCACTTCAGCCTTTTCAGTGACAAAATGGTGTGGTGAGTAGACTTAGATATTATTTATCAAGTAAATTTTAAATGATCTTTCAGAAAAGATAAAGTGTACCAAAGAAGATGCTAATGCCAGGGGCCGGCCCGTGGCTCACTCGGTAGAGTGCGGTGCTGACAACACCAAGGCCACGGGTTCGAATCCTATATAGGGATGGCCGGTTTGCTCACTGGCTGAGCGTGGTGCTGACAACACCAAGCCAAGGGTTGAGATCCCCTTACCGGTCATCTTTAAAAAAAAAAAAAAGAAGATGCTAATGCCAGGCATTGTTTCTTACAAAAAAGATAGCAGTGGGACTAAAGTATCTTATAACATTACAATCATTTTAGATGTCTTATAATCATACCAAGGCTTAATAATCATACCATGGAATAATTGAGAGGGTATTCTTTTATTAAAGAAAATTCTGAGGCTCGCTATTTAGCTCAGTTGGTTAGAGCAAGGAATTATAACCCTAAGGTCAAGGGTTTGGATCCCCATACCAGCCAGCTGCCATAAATAAATAAATAAATAAATAAAATTATGGAAGGTAAGCTTTTTTTAAAAAAGATGACCAGTAAGGGGATCTTAACCCTTTACTTGGTGGTGTCAGCTCCACATCTCCCAAGTGAGTGAACCGGCCATCCCTATATAGGGATCTGAACCCATGGCCTTGGTGTTATCAGCACCACACTCTCCCAAGTGAGCCACGGGCCGGCCCTATGGAAGGTAAGCTTTTGCAAAATAATGTTGCAGTAGACACCTTTGGGGTTTGTGCCCAGCCTGTTTCCCTCCCATAGGGTGGGACCTTCTAGCCATGTTTGTATCATGGGTGATACCACTTCCAGGTATGGGATCAAGAACAAATACCTGACCAAGTTAAGCCAATCAGGTTTTCTACCCTAGGAATTGGAAATAAGGGAGATGCTAGTCATTTTTAGATGACTGGTGCTGAAGTTGGGAAGTGAAAGCTCTAGGTTTGGGGCAGCTCTTTTCTGTGTTACACATGTAAATGCAGAGAAATCTTGTCTGCAGAAAAAGAATGAAGCAGATGCACAGAGAAGAATAATGATCACATGGCCTCACATAGTCAGAAAAGTCCCCTATTGGCTATATCTTTTCATGATTAACATTGGGTATTTCTTTATATTTCTAATAAATTAAATTTTTTACTTAAGTTTCTTTGTTTACTATTGGAAACTGAAACATCCATCAAAGTCTTTCCTTGACCATTTAAAAACAAAAACAAGAATAGCCATGATGACCTAGTTTGTGCCAGGCGTTATGCTTACTTTACTGAGTTCTTAATATAAGAAAACTGGGACTCAGAGAGGTGGAGGAACTGAGATTTGAATCTGTGTCTTAACTCCAAAGCTTATTTTCCTTTTACAGAACATAAAGGTTTTCTTTTCCTCATTTAATGTGCTTAGATAGGTGTTTACAGCTGAGTTATGGTTGACTAAACAATAAAACTTTACAAATAAAGTCCATCCTTTACCATAAGGTTGTCCAGTGTACATTAGGCATACCATTTGTTCTTCATTGCAGATTTCTAACAGGAAATATATACTTGAGATGGATTGATATTTTACTTTACATTCCTAGTGTTTTCTTAAGTAATTTCTATTTAGAATTAAGTTTAAAGAAGGAGGGGAAGTTGCTGTAAATGTTTTATTAGTAACCTCATATCTTTTTTATTTTCATTTTTTCTGACCGGTAAGGGGATCGCAACCCTCGTCACAGTGTCGTCTGCAGCACTGTCAGCCAGTGAGCGCACCGGCCATCCCTATTATAGGATCCGAAACCACAGCCTTGGTGCCACCAGCGCCGCACTCTCCCGAGTGAGCCACAGGGTCGGCCCATCAAATCTTTTTTAGAAACAGATATAAGTAAATGTCCCAGAAGAGCTATAATTGCATTTTTGCAGTAAGAAGTATGCTTTTAGTAACAACAACAACAATAGTTTTGTTTTTAGTAACAAATGTTTTTAACATAAATTTGAAAAACATGATGGGATTATGAGTCATTTCTTAATTTTTTTTTTTTTTTTGGTGGCTGGCTGGTAGGGGATCCAAACCCTTGACCTTGGCATTATAATACGCCACTTTAAGCAACTGAGCTAACCAGCTAGCCTCTCTTAATCTTTAAAATGAGGAGTTGGATGAAAAGTCAGTACATTCCTTTTAAGTAGAAACTAGGAAAATATAGGTGGCATGAGTCTGGGAAGATAATAAATCTATGTCTGTGTGTGTCAGTTAGAATGAATTTGGTTGCCAGTAACAAAAAACCTGACTAACAGTGGCTTTAACAAGTAAGAGGTGAGGACAGTTGCCTGCTCCAGGAGTATTCTAGTGGCTCAATCATAACAGGGCTCTGGGTCAGCATCTGTGATTCTCTTGGCCTTTTCCTTTTGGATGCAAGATGGCTGCTGCAATTACAAGCATTACATCTATCAATGGTAATATCCCCAGTAGAAAGTAAGAGGATATGGGGAGTATGGGAACACAAAGAAAATTTTCTTTTTATTGGCAAAAAATTTCCTTATTCTTATTGGCCAGAACTATGTCACATGAACACTTTAAACTGAGAAAACGAATATATGACTATAGGCTTGTCACTG